TCCTATTTGAGTGCTCCAACAACGAGCCACGCAGAAGGTGCGCTGAACCAAGTCGGGTGTCTAATGAGGGCGCGGCGCGCGTTAACCGGCTGCACACGCAAATTAAGCGCCGCACACAAGGGCGTGTGGTGGTGCGCCTAGACGTGGGCTCACGCCGCACCAGACAGTTGTCTCCAATCGCTGCATCAGATGGTGGACCGGCTCGGAGAGCGGACTGGTGTGTGGGAGAGGAAAACAAGAGTGTGATAGACTCCGGGGATCATTTTCGTGGCACTCCAGTGTATTTCCTCTCCATAAACAATTTAACGCGCCTTTTTACCCCTGACGATGCGCTAAAATCCATGGCTTGGAAGGGTGCCAACTGAAGGGGGGTCAGGCATCATCAGTCCGGATCCGAGTCACGCCTTTCTTATTTATGTGTGTGGAATCCTGGTCCATCGTGCACGCAACACGTGTGTGTGGCCCGCGCAGACGGCCGTCTAACTTTGTCAGGCAATTCCACCGATCCCGCCTCCGGTTTTCTTGACTGTTTTGAGACTGGGCTCAGATGGGTGTGAGAGGGAATAGTGCGGTAGATGCAGCGCAAGTTTATTATCATTACAGACTAATTCACTTAAAACCGACATGAGGTGGGAGCACGATGGACATCAACGTTCGTGATAATCGAAATGTTGCTGGTTTTTGCAGGAATGCGTTATTGGGTGCATTTATATAATAAATCAGAGAAAGCCCCTGTTTTCATGGTTAGACTGTCTTCAAAACTGGCATACTCTCTATGGTCGGGTGCTCTCCCTGTCTTTCCTCTGCTAATGCGCTTGATAAAATGTTCGAACCGGAGAATGGACCATTTTAAAAGCAATATTCGGACGCGATAGGTGGCTCTGATCAAAGGCTACCAGCAGGCACATTAAAAAAATCGGACGTGAGGTCGTAGACAAACAGGTCTTGAACTTCATTTGTGGATGCCTTTATGGACTGCCTCCGTTCCTTAATTTTCCACTGGTGCCACGAATATCCAAGGTCTCGAACGTTTGTGGCTTAACCCCTGTCGTAATCGAGGAAGCGGAGGTCTTCAGATACACAACTATAAAACGCTGAGTATGTCTTCTACACCATCAGTGAGCAACCATCTCAAGCATGGCGTCCTGTTTGTTGCAAGCAGTGTCATATTACTTTGTAGCTTCAATTCACAGTCTTCATTAGCAGTCTCTTATTAAAAAGATAATTCATACATCCTGACAACTAAAAGATGGAACTGACGTAACGATTTCGGCTCTATTTCTGGTTCGCAGCCAGGCAAAGCCCACTCCTGTACCTGAGAGGCCTATTGTTTGAGCTCTCATTATTTGGCCAAGCGTATGACGGATACGATCTCTGATAAACTGACCTGGAATCAAATCTAACGTATCCAAGGTCTGCTGCAAGCGCATGAGCGACTTATTGTAGGCGGCATGCCAGAAATGGCAGAAGTCTTCCTTGTTGGTAACAATACGTTACTTTAGATATGTATGGCCGAAGTCATCTGGACCCCTTTAAATGAAGTATCGCAATTAGTAATTGTGACATGCTGACAAGTTTACAACATTTGCTTGAAGATGTATTTATAATTTCTCCTTGAGATCTATCAGTTAATTAAACTCCATGTAATCTCTATGCTTGACGCTAGGACCAAATATTTTCGCACTTCAGAGGTCCCCACAGTGAACCCTCAATCTCGAGATCCCAGAAGTTTGCGTGTGCTGGGGACCATGAGTCGGGATAACCCAAGTAACTTCTGAAAAACACCACCGTACCCTTTTTGATCTTGGCACTCCTACCGCGTGCACGAGTTCGATCCCTAAGCATTACTTTCTGTGAAGCTCGTGGCTACGATTCACTGAGTAATCGCGCAGAACAAATAGCTCTGGCATAAAAGGACGTCATCACTGAGTCTAAGGAAAATGAATTTCAAAAATCGGCTCAGACAAAAAATTTATGGGTGTCGATATGTGAGGCGTGTCCTCGAGATTATTAAAACAGGACTTTTGCTGAATGAGGAAAGTGTAATGTAGGCTTTGATTTTGTACACTGCTTTTAACAGTCATTGCGATCTGTTTCAGAAGGAATGGAAAATTAAGGTACCAACCAGCCTAAACCAGAGTTATCATCCACATCCATATCGAATTTTTGAAAAATCTTTACACTTCACCATCATAGAACAGTCAGCTGTAACAAGCTCTATGCTCTGAAGGAAGCCGTCGAGTCGTCTTACGATGCTTTGTATGTGTACATACGTGCAGAATGGCATAACCGACAAATACAGGACGGAGTGGGGTGGCTAATTCTGACTAACTGGCAGTCATCAGCCAGCCACATCCGCTCCCAAATTTCTCAAACCCCTGAAGTCCGACCCGGCTACTGTTGATTAGAAGCCCAACGTCCTAACCATTGAGTCGTGGGTTCGCTGTTCTGTTTGTTGCGATCAAGTAAATTAACAACGGTTTAGGGGCGTTCACCGACCCCCTTACGGGACATACTGTTCCGTTGTGCCCTGGGGTCCGGTCTGGGTCTTGCGAGCAGCTTTACAGCGGTCAGTGATGTACAGTAGGTGGGCTAACTCATGAAATGTCAACCGCAATTCCGAAATGCGTTTTGTTTTCGAAAAGATTAATTAAGTAAGATTGTAAAACGAGTCATCGTACAGCGCAATTCTATAATAATTCAGTTACCTCAAGATGCCGGCTTTCGAACGAAGTTCTTCCCGGCTGCGTGCAAAAACTATGCTCTGTAGCAAATGACAACTTATATAACATGCATTTTTCTCATTGATTTTCGACGGCCTTAAAAATGCAATTGTATTTCATGGAAAACATGCATAAAAATATCCATTCTTTTGCTCATTCGGTGGACAATTACATCTTCAATTTTATACTCGAGAAAAGGGTATAATTTGGTTTTCAAAAGTTTCTAATTATGAGATTTTTTAATATCGTGAATCGGCCGACCATAAAACGTCATGTCCCTGCATTCACCAATGTGGTTTTTACAGGTAACAATATGGCTCAAATCCACCGCTAAATTTTCTAAACCTTTTATGGTCTCCTTGTGATACCGTAGGGAAATGTATGGCCTTCCGTACGCAGAAAATATACGACTAGTAGTTTCGAAACTCTAAATAAAAGTGTAACGGCAGTTCGGGTCCGAAATTATTCGGGAATCGGGAACGTTTTTGAAGACCGAATTATACGCTTTCTTCAAGTATAACATTATAAGAAGTCGTTATTTGCTACCGAATGGGCAAAAGAATGACTATTTTATGTATTTTTTCCATGAAATGTAAATGGATTTTTAAGGGCATCGAAATTCAATGGGAAAAATGCATGCTCCTTAAGTGGTCATTTTTACTAAGCATAGTTTGCGCATGCAGCCAGAATGGAGTTCATCCAAAAGCCAGAATGCTGACGTAACAGAATTACTATAGAATTATGCTGCACGATGATTCCTTTTACAATCTTACTTAATTAATCTTTTCGAAACGAAAACGCATTTCCGAATTTCCGTTGACATTTCATGAGTTAGCCAACCAACTGTATAAGTGCCTCCTACCATCGTCACCCTACTATTGCAAAGTGGTGACGCACGACGGAGTTCGTCAACTTCTCAGGATGTCCACGAAGACCAAAGTATGGAAGCAATGTTGTCATCCTCTTAGGAGATGGGACTAGAAAAATTTTCCTAAAAACTGTTTACGGAACATGCAGTCGCCAAGCTGACTGCAAATTATGGATGACGAGCATACAGTCGAAACATCGTGTGAAACCACAACCCTTCTCTCCACCCCTGTGCCTCTCCACTGTCTGTCAGCAAATCCCTGCTCACTATGGTATTTTGAAACGGTCTTCCGATTTAACTAAAATGCGTGCATTTTTTATTGATGCTGGGAAAACCGTGTAAGAGAGAGATGAAAACATTCTTTTTTTCTACAGTCGATCTGTTATATGCCTGTTTAATTAAAGAAAACATCAAGAAATCTGTAGTTGTACTCGGGAATTTTGAACTGGATGGTCTCAGTAGGTCGTCATTCGAAATGAATATTAACAGTTGGAACTATCGTGATGTAACGTTCTTAGACAGAGGAGATTCATCAGTAGATAGACGGTCATAGGAATAGCGGATATTTTGTTGTGATTGACGCTGTTGGACGGTTTTGAGCATGACTGACCTTATTGGATGTCGGCATATGGCGGATCGGTGGGATTTTTTAATGACCGGGTACAGATGTTACATCAGGATTGTTGCAGGCGACCAGCGTGCAGCGCACGGAAGCCCTTGTAGAATGCCTGCAGACCCATGTGCCTGTCTAACAGTATCAAGAAATTCACGCCACTCTTTTTTTCGGCCGCGCCGACCGCTTTCGTATCGTCCCAATGGAAGTCTTGGTCGGAATCATGGGTAAAGGTGAGACGAAGGGGGTCACGCCGGCGGGCAGTTAACGCTTGTCTGTTCATGCTGGTCCCCAGTTGCTGACCTCTCTGGCGCAAGAGCAACTGACCTATACGATGCGGTAAACATTAGTTTGCTGCTGTTTACATACTGGATCCTTTACATATACACAGCGCAACGCGGTGAAAAACTCCTGCAGGGTTGAGTCCGTTCAGCAAAACAAATAATGCAACTAAAGAAAAGTGACCAAACGGTTAAAGGTAAGTTGGTCCGGCACCTCGTCATAGCACTCCCCTCCGAGACCGGAAGGCGGCGAAAAACGATGCCCGAGGATACGTACAAGTCTAAAAAAGAGTAACGAGTCGATCGGGAAAGTAAACGTGATGTCCACTGCGGGTGATTTATGCAGGGGGAACAGATGAGTGAAGTTGTGCTGCGGATGTAGTGTTTGAGTTTGATAAAGAAGTTATAATTGATGGCAGTGGATATGGTGGTAGCGGGAATATACGAGACGGAGGGACAGAGAGTGAGAAAACTGGAGGGAGTGTCTGCGACAGCAGCTTTGAAGCGACCCAGGCTCACGACCTCCTCGCGAGTCCCGCGTTGAATGCGAGGGGTCTTCGGCCCCGGAAGGAGCCGCCGTACGAAGGTTCCAATGGCCGACAGACTCGATCACATCGTAGGCAGACGTAAGAGCATGCAGCCAAGTTTTGCTCATGATAAGACTCGGAGACGGACAGCATGGGCGGAACTGGGGAGAGTATCCGCACAAACTGTCCGAAACGGTTCAGGAGGTTGGCAGGATCCTCAACCGCGCCATGAAGGGTTGACCTAATCATCTCACCGGGAAGTAGGATGGTGGCGCCGAACGCCAGTTCAGCGGCGGAGCAGTCAAGGTCCGACTTGAGAGAGGAGCAGATACCCAACAGGATCAGAGGGGATGGTCTGTCCAGTTCTCGGGATCCTCCACTGCACGCTGAACGAATTTCAGCTGTCAGTGGAACTGCTCCGTTGGCAGTCAGGCGATAGGCCGTCGTGCGAATGCAAGTACAGACTATAGAGGAGAATAGAAACTGGATGAGGTGAGATCCAAACTGGGCACTACGGTAAATCTTGCTAGAGGAGAGGACACAGAAGATGGCAACCCAACGATTGAGTTGCGCCTTGGCCACCGTCAAAGCCTGGAAACCCTGCGGAGGAATACCTCCAGGCCACCGGGAGGAATGATTCATGCAGGTGAAGAGATAGCGACAGTCGCTAGACAGAAGTGGGAGGCCTACAATATCCAGTTGGACGCAGCCGAACCTCGCGTAAGGGCCAAGAGAGATGCCGATGCTGTGCCGCCGGCAGCCGATACATGCCAGTGTTCATGTTTCCAGGTCCTTGTGCGTCTCAGGCAAACGAAGCAATCGGAAGCCAACTTGTCGGTTGTTCGACTCCCAGGGCGAGATGGGTCGTGCAGGGAGGAGAAAACTTTTTCTGCGAAGTGGTAGCGGAAAAGATGGACGGTGGGGGATGATGTAGACGTCACATAGAATGCTGTCCTTGTCAGCAGTCAGCGGGGGGTCCTGGAGTTTGAGTCCAGAAGCATCCTTGCCGTAGGGCCTCCAGAACGGCGTTGTTCACTGGTCATCTCAGCGAGGTCTCTCCCCGGGAGAAAATTAGGTATGAGCGACTGTGGGTCTGGACAGCACGTCAGCCACCTTATTCTGTGACCCGTCAATATGGCGGATGTCTGAAGTTAACTGCTAAATGAAGTCCATTTGACGAAACTCCCCCATGTTCAGTTTGTCAGATTAGAAATGCAAAATGAAAGTAAGCAGTTTGCGATTTATAAAAATTGTTAAGTCTCGACCTTCCAGTAATTTCCGGAAGTGCTTCACAGCAAAACAAACAACAAAAATTTCATGCGCGAATGTGCTGTAGCGGTTCTCGGCACTGGATAGCTTTTTTGAGGAGAAGACCAAACGCACACTCAGATCTGGGTGACTTTGTTGGAGAATCGCGCCAACAGCAACGTTGGAAGTATCAACCATCAGAAATATGAGTGCATGAGCATGAAAGTGGGTCAGGAGGGTAGCGCCAGCCAGAAGGATTTTGTCTGCTCAAATAACGTGCGTTTAGCTGGGGGTAAATTTAAAGATGCACTTAGAACATGAGATGAGGTTGGTCGGCGGGAGGATGGTGTTGGCACAGTTCGGAAGGAACCGCCGGCAAAAGTTCACCATGCCAAGGAAGCGCTGAAAATGACGCTTGGAGGTAGGATGTAGAAGGTCCCCAGTAACTGTGGAAGAGAACGAATGCCATTGTAGTCGATTTAACGATCAAAGAACTCAAGAGAGGTGTATTCCAGGACGTAGTTTACAGGGTGCAGAGTGACACGGAACTTCTAAAAATGTTTGAAAAGCAGAGTAACGTGATGAAGACGTTGCCCGGCATCTCGACCGGCGACTAAGACAACGTCAATATAAGCATAAACAAAAGGAATCCCGCATAAAACACGATCAGGGAAGCGTTGAAATATCTGTGAGGGATTTAGGAAACCAGAGGACATGCGAAGAAATTCGGGCAAGTCAAAAGGAGTCGTCACTGCCGTTTTGGGAACGCTCCCAGGCGCAGTCGGAATTTGCTAAATGCCGAGTTTTTCACAATTGGGTCAATATGAATTATTCAAAATCTGCCAAAATACCTATGAATTACGTGAGCCTAGTAGTCACCTGGTGGATTCTAGGTGAATTATTTAGGAAATCCTGCTTGGGCAGTCAACTTAATGTATCAGATTTGGTGGATTCCAGACGTTGCAGTAGGTTGGGCGAGTAAACATGACCTAAATGTGATTAAACTCGCGTCGTGCGGCGGGGCCTCGTAGCTCAAGTGGTTAGATCGTTGGCTGTACTAAAGCCCTCCCCTTACTGCGTGGGTTCGAATCCCACCGAGGCGCCGAGTTTTTCACAGTTGGGTCAATATTAATTATTCAAAATCTGCCAAAATACCTATGAATCTTCGTTATATTTAGAATGGGGACTAGTTCATGGATAGAAAACAACGTTCATTTTTTACTCAAGATATCGCCCGCCGCAGCTATAGCCTTTTTGCATCCGGTGGTTCAGTGTCTGGTGAATCCGTCGAGCTGAGTAGGACTTCCCTGCGAGATGCTTTTAGTGTTTTCTCCATTCTTTGCGTAAGTTTAGGCTTAGTTTTTTCATGTCCTGGTCTTTTTGTGTTCAGTGCTTGTCTCGGACTGATTAACTGTTGTTGAACTTGATCAGCTGTTACATTTTCACATGTCTTCAGCAACATTTCTTTCTGTACCCACCAGATACACAGCATAACTTTTCTTTCAAGAATACTTGGTTTGACGTTAATGTTGATGGTTGGTCAGGCGTTGTCCAGGACTTTTGCGTTTAGTATTATCGTAACAGGTCAATTTTTGCCACCAATATGTGTCCTGAAAGTGAAATCTCACACTTGGCTTTGCGCTATTCTTATTGCCCCTTAGGCAATACATGCGGAACCAAACTTCCTTGTTTTTTACCGCATCAAAATGCATGTAGATGTTTGCCAATAGTAGTCCTATTAATTTCAAACATTTCTAACATGTTCCTAGGCGCTAGACATAGATCGTGATCGGCAAGCGTCTCAAATTCCTCATCCCAAAATTTTCTTAGCTGTCACGGACGTTCCTTATTTTCTACGTCATTATCAGCACTCCTAAAGCGTTCAAACCATTATCTGCATGCTCCGTCAGATAGAACATATTCAGCATAAGTTCCATCAAGAGAAGAATGACTCTCAACAGCACTTAAAACAAGAGATTAATGCTTCCTGCGAGCGCTTCCTTTTGGCACACCGTTCTCCCAATTTCCTAAAATAAATAACATTAATGTTAGTGTTTCGACCGAACGTCGTCAACTAAGCATGACAAGTTGCTTAAATTACTTCGTGTAACATATGTTGCCGTTTTCAGTTACCCAAGAGCAGTATACGTTAAAATATTTAATACAAAACGACGTGATTTTGATCCCCCACCTATTATTTACTGCAATCAGACCTTTCGCCTCATTCTGAAATGACAGTCAACCGCCATCTCCATCAGTAAAGGAGCTTAAGTGTGTGGAATGATGAGTACGGGCCTTGCAACTAGAGAAACTTCCAGCAGGGCATTTGCCCAATTAAATAAGGCTGTCGAGCTCCTAACAGCCCATTTTCATTGATTTGACAAGCCATTTCGAAAACTTCAGAAACTAATGAACGGCAATGCATCCCGTCCAAGAAGGACAGAATTGCGGTCTAAAAATAAGCTTGTAGTAAAGGCAGTCAGGGAAACAACGTTCGCATCAAAGCTGATGTTTTGTGTTACAAAATAACAACAAGAAAGAATTCCTCTGACGGCTTCCCTGGCAATCATATTGTTTATATATCTCCTCTGAACTCAGCACTTGTAATGAGATTACCGGTTTTCATTTCCCGAGACGAGGGGCCTATTGTGTACTCTAGTTACTTAAAGTTTCACAAATTAATCCGTTTATCTGCCATCTTATGGGGGGGGGGGTATTTTAACTACTCTGCCTCTTTCATCACGGTATCGCTGCTGAAAGTATGTTTCCTCTTACCAATGCGACTTAAACGAACCAAAGTAGAAGACTGAGTCCGGGCAATGTGCATGCCCAGATGACACGCAGGTGTTTATTCAAGTGCTCTCAAGTATACTTGCATTGTATCAACGATATCTCCCCACAAATTCTGACATTTTGACTACCCTTAAGTCTCCAACCATCTCCCCGATTCTAATTCAGCGCACTCAGGTGTCACTGTAAAAGCACAGTCAGTAAGATGTGCTGGACGGTAGCTAGAACGGAAAAAAACTGTTTGCACTGTAGTGCAGTGAAATTTTACGGAGAACTGTGGAGAATCAATAAATTCCATAAATGATCAACTCCGCAGTGGTACACTCGAGCTGCCGTCGGCACGGTGCTAAACTTGAAGAGTTTGCGAGAAAGCGGCGCAAAAGCTCAGCGCTCAAAATAATCGAATGCGAGAGAATTGGTGGAGGCTCAACAACAAGCCTCTACCATTGTTATTTCGCAAAGTTCATGAAAACTCCTATGTAAAAAAGTTTATTGTAGGAGTAGGTGACTGTTTTAATGAAAGTTTATGTTACTTTGATCGGAAAAATAACAAATATTCTATCTATAACTGCTGACTTTCCAAGCACCTATCAGTCTTTAGCAGTTTAATCGCCTAGCTGAATTCAACTTAATTACCCCACTGGTAGTGGCGGCTTGGTTACCAGGAGGGATATAAAAGGAAAAATGCCCTGAACAGCTGAACTCAGTAAGATGTGGTTATGTAGCCCCTACTGGTGGACACCATACTGTTGGGGTTGGGCCTGGCAGTTGGGCGTTAGGGTTAGGGGTTAGAGTCGGGGGTTAAATTTAGGGGTTAGAGTGGGGTGTTCGAGTGAGGACTTAGAGTTCGGGGTTAGGGTCAGGGTCGGGAGTTAGGGCAACTATTTCTCAACCGCCCAAAGTACAACTGCGCATTCCCAATGGCTTTTCTTTTGCATACAACTACTTGGCCTCGTCGCCTGCACGTTCTCAAGCCCCATTTGTAAAAACCCCCTATTACCACCGATTTCGTATTACAGGTGGCTGGGATTTTTTTTCTTCAGGTGGGGCTACATAACTACGTATCACCCTGAACTCGAATGTTTCAAACGGTTCGGTTCAGCACTACTCGGTGAGTTTTTCTAGTATGGTGCCAGAGCTTTGCCAGCGCAACCAGGCTGCGAGGTTCATGACTTGTTGATCATGATCACAATCCTTCGGCGCGCTTACTCACACACACATACGGGATCATGTCATACAGGGACGAAGGGGGACAAAAATGTCACATAAAGGGTGTGATTTCACCAGACAACAACCTTCGAAGCTACGTACTTTGACGCGTCGTCACAGATAAAGCATAACAAATGAATTGCAGCGGGAAATGCGCAGGCCTGCTATGAGTGATCATCCCACTCCATTTAATCTGCCTCACACATAAGGCTTTCACCTTTAAGAAGAGCAGGTCTTACCTTACCACTTCAAAGCCATATTAATGCGGATTCTGATTTCTTGTACAACTCTGATCTAACACTCTGGATGCAAGCCGTCTTTGTGTAAATCATGATCCCGCATTTACACACCTAAATTTACTACGCGCAAATACGCAAACATACCAACCCGACTCG